TAAAACGCTTCATCCAATATGAAAGAGACCTGGACATAATTGACACTTAACAAAAACCAAAGTAGGTTGTGAATCTGCCACTTTTTTTTTTGTTTTACTTTTATTTTCATAAATCCAAAAACACTTTCAGAAAAGCAGAAACGTACAATTGAACATATGCCATCAATAACAGTTTTCTTTCAGAAAAAGAAACATAAAACATAAAAGAATGAGAAAGAAAATTAAAATTTTATTTTAAAAAAACAGGGGTTTAGCTAAAGTATATTGCTATCAAGTCTGAAAACTTGAAGGCCTTGTTGTTCTCCAGTAACTTAATCGAGGCATGAAAACTTTTAATATCGTTTTGGAATGCTTGAAAATTTGGTGAAACTTTAAAGAATCTGCACTTGTGGATAAAGAATTTTCACATAATGAAAATAATATTACATAAAAATTCCACATTTTTATCATGAAAAGTAATGCCAAATATAACTCCTTCATATTCAAAATTAGGAATCACATTTTTATTTGATGTGAATCTGCCACTTTGCATCAATGAAACATCTTAAACAAGCTTATGTAACTTTCAGGGGACGTAGCAAAATAACAACGACCTATATTATTCTTCTAATACTAGGGCCTTATCCCAAACCGCTACTAAACACTAGCCCTTAGCACTAACTCTCCTTTTGCGCGTTCCCGCTGAGGGTCCATTAAGTGCCATCCCAAACCACATAGTGGGTAGGACGAGTGGATAGTTCAGCCCTTAAATAGCGGATGTCACAGTGGCCTGGTGGCGGAGGAAATAGGTTCTGCCAAATGTAAATTCGCAAGTTAGTATATTTAAAAAAACGTAAAGAATTCCAAAATGGAAAGTCCTCTTTGAAATAGTTTTGTTTTACCTGTATACATTAGTTTTAAGAAAGGGGAAAACGTTTAATGTTATGTTAACCTGCAACACAGAGCTACTGTACAGCCACGCACATGGGGCATCACCATGTTGCCATAGCAAAGACTCGTTTATACCCCCCTCCCCACCTTCAATCAAGGTGCCTTCCACAGCTGCGAGTGTGACTTTATTAGGAGAGGCACTTGATAGTGAAGTGTTAGTGGTTATAGGTGGTTTGGGATTGGCTTTGGTATCCTGCACATGTATGAATGACTATGAACCTGGATATGATTTCAAATGAACACAATTATTTATCTTTTTTAAAAAACATTTTATTATATTCATATTTCTTATTTTTTCTTCTTTTTAGACTTTCATTCAATTTTGTTTTAATTAATTGTACTTCTTTTGTTTACATAATTGGTACTGTGACCTTTTAATGGTTATACGTTTTGAACTATATTGCACAGTTCGAACTGGGCTACATATGCAACACAACACCTACATGTACCCCTGCCTGCTCTCACTCTAGCCTCTCATGCTGGTTATAGCCTACAATTGGCAAATGCTCTGAGAGATGGATCAACAAGGTCAGGCACTAGCTAATGAAATATGAACACTGTCATGAGATAAATGTTCATTTAAAAGTAATGTAAATAATAAAATTAAAATAATTTGATAGTAGTGCTGTAAACGGTAATGCATGTAGCTTACCTTTTTCATTCAGCCTGGAAGAGAAGAGGGAAACCTTCAACTCAAAATATATCATATGACTAGCCAGGGCATATTTCAGTACAGTATTTGAAAAATACTGTTGAATGCTATAAAATCCCTGCATTTATTTTTACTGTGGTGCTGTGATATTATAGACTGGTTTGTGATATAACTGGGGTTTTTATTGCAGACTTTTACTGTGAAATAAAAATTAAATGACCTAAAATCCACAGAGTTTTTACAGGTATTTCTTTGGATATTACAGGAGAACTTAATTACAACTACTTACTGACAAATAGTACTGTTAATTATTGCGGAAAGTTAGTAATATCTAACATTGTGTTTATTTTTTTTTTTTAGAAACAATGCATTTTTGTCATTTTTCTATCAGAATCTAGGTCCAATATTCCATTTGAAAGTTAATTTGCAAAAACATAGTTTTGAAAATATTCCTAAAGACTTTTGGAACAGGCCAATTGCATTTAAAATAAACCTGTGAGGTTTTAGCCAGGAGATGGCGCCTTTATTCCTGACTCTTTTCAGTTGCTTCTGTGGATACAGCAAGTGCTATGAACCACAGGAAACAGATGAGGCAGGGTTTAAATGCCTAGTGTTCTCAAGCCCCAATTTATGGTCGACGTTTCCTCTTTAGACTCAGAGGAAAATTAGAAAATTAAAGAAAATTAAAGAAAATACTATCCTAAAGCGACAGTGAAAAAGAGGGCTTGTCAGCCATAAGCTCAGTTCCCCAATTTCTTAGTTTGAGAGAACATAAACAAGATGAGATCAAATTAATTTTGATCTTGGTTTGTTAAAATGTGCTGCAACCGAAATGCAGCAGCTGCAAATGTGATGCTTTTTTTTGCATGATTTCTTTGGTTATTTATTTTTATTTCTTAGATATCTTTCACCATAGTGATTGCACAACAGTCCTGCTCTTACTGATGAGTTATCAATAGTTTTAAGCAATATGTAAACTGGGAAGACCATCATCTTGTGGGTATGTGCATACAGTTTAACTCACTGAACCAAATAACTGCTTAAATACAAATGTTAATAACAATGATTCAAATAAGCCATATAATTTAATGCAATAAAAAACCTAATAAACGCAAGTTATAAAGATTAATAACAACCTTAATGACAACCCAAGTATAAGAGCTAAATTTGCACCAGTAACTCAACTATAGTTTAATAAGCATTATTTATTATAGCCTAAATACCTATCTCAGTTTTCATAGCACTGAGTCAAATATTTGTTTTTGCGACAAGCTAATATGATTGTACGCATTATTCTCACTATCTTCATTCAAGTCAGTAGATTTTGCTTCTGTCCTGCATGATGAATGTTTTGCTGACTCACTGCGGCTGGCAACATCACCAGCAAAGTCAACCCCTGAAACATATTATCCACAGTGCTTTAACAGTGTGAAATGGCAGCAAGAACAAACTGAATATATTTAGCAAATTTTGACACCATTTAGTTAAGTGTTATCTAAAATTAGGCTACCTGCATAAATGTCTCTAAGTTATGCCATTGTTTGTAGAAAATGCTGAATACCTTTTTTTTCTTTTTACCATTTTGATTGCTTTGAAACAACCTTGTGTTTAAATTTGCCTATATAAAAACCCTTAGATAAAACGGTCCGGTGCTCTGTCGTTGAGTCTATCACTGTTTTTGCACATATTTATTAACCATAGGTTTGATGCTATGGGGATGCTATGGGGACCTGGGGATACTGGAGGCAATTTCCTAAATGTTTGTTTCTTCACTTATTTATATAATTTAAGCATACACACACACACACACACACACACAAAAGAAATCAGACACACCAGCACCCAATTTGTACATGCTTATGAGAGTAGGTAACTTGAGGCACTCTGAAAGTGTGGATGTTATTTATTTAAGTGTTTTACTTACCCCCTTTAAATGCAAAACATCAAGCTACTGTGGAAATGTAAATCAAGAGATTAGCAGCCAACTCAATCAGGGAAGTGGTTTCTCTGCCATATTACAGAGCCACACCCTTAACCCCACCAGGACCCCCGCTAATCAATTCAACAAATCCATGTTTGTTACATATGGCTGTTTCTATAGAAACCATTCCCCGAATAGCTGTAACCATGGGAACATTTTTCCGTTCTCCTAAGAGAGTAAAAGGAAAATGCATCCTTTTTATGCAGTTTTTTTTTTTTTTTTCATGAACTCTTGAACCTCCTTTATCATGCTCTTCCATCTCTGAAAGAAAGACGCAAGGCAAAACTGAAGTGTAGACTTGTTTGACTTAAAATATTTTTAGATCGGTAGCAGTATTAGTTGTCGGATGCAGCTTTAATCAGGACAAAATATGCTATAGTGTGATTTTTTTCCCCCATTTTTGTATATAGAACATAAATTAGCAGGCGTCAGAGTTTCACTTCACCAACAAAAATCTATGAAGCTGTAGACAACTTATTAAAAAATATTGCTCATTAATCTTTCATTTCTCCGACAATCATGAGTCATGTCTATGTAATTTGATTTGTTTATTCCTACAAACCCACTGGGAGCCCATAAATCTATTTAGCCACTGCATTACATTATTGCACGTCTAGAAGCTTTGTTTCCTTATGTGACTGCTTGGACCATCAGCGAAAAAAGCTTTCATAAAGAGACAGAGGTGTGCCAATTAGTATGCATCACTTCAGGGAGGGATCCTTTCTGACTTCTTGTTGGTCCACATAAGTGTGATATGTTTAATAGGAGATTAGCCTCTAGAAGGTTTGTCAGCCTTGCATCATTTAACTGAACAAAATAGTCATAAAAGCATCCTTTCCTAAAGTAGTTGCAATTTTAAAATGGTTTTTAATACAATAAGCATTCTAAAATTAGTGCTAGAGTAATATTTTTTATAAACTGCACTTAGGGAATACAAATAACTATAACACAAATAGACTCAAGACAATAAACCCAAATATAAGCTTCAGAAAGAAAATTTTATTTGTGATTTTTAAAACAAACACATTATCACGGTATCCATTTAGGTAAAATAAAAAGTCTGAAAAATAAATGAATTTCACTACTTTTCACTGTTACAGTTGATGAGAAGGTGTACAAAATAAGGTTTCACAACATTTCTCTGCCAATCCGTTCAGGACAGCACATTTCCACCAGTTCACCACCACCATACACTGGGAAAGAATGACAGCATGGACACTCACTAAACACAAGAATATACTAACATATACTCTCTTTTTTTTGTTTTTTTTTTATTATTTTTACAACTTTTTTTCCGTTTTTTTTATTATAAGGCTAGTGAAAAGGAAGGGATAGCTCTTCATAGAATGATACATATTTTAGTTACAATAATACAGAGTTAAATCGTCATGTCAAAGCTTGAGACAGAGTGATTTTTCTTTTGCTTTTTATTTTTTATTTTTTTTCCTGCTTTACCTGTCTTTAAATGCAAAACAACTGCTGGAAAAAGAGAGAAAATAAACTTGCAATTGAAAGGTATCACACTATATAATTTACAAATACCTAAAGAGGGTTAGTGGATGCCTTTTAACATCTGTGGAGAGTGAACATTGTGGTACATAGATGCTTGGCAGCGACAGCAGTACATACAGATATTTCCTGTGTGAATAATGAGGGAAAATTATAATAATACAAAAGAATAAAATCAGAGCAATCTATCTATATATATATATTTCTCTATATAGTGTTTGTTTCCTTAGAGCAGTACATGCAGCAGCCACTTAATGGAGTGACGTCATACTGAGCCGCAAACCTTTTGGGACGTGGCAACAAGTTACAGGCAACGGGAGGCTAACCAACTGAAGCAGGTTGTGAGGCACATGTGTGCCCCTTTTTTAGAAACCATCTGCAGGAAGGTTGGTGGGATAAAGCTCAGGGAATACATCCCCATGCACCGTTTATTTCTCAAGTTTTAGCAACTACTGTTCAGACAATCTATGAAAAGTCTACGCTACATTTAAAGCGTACATAGAAGCTAGTATGTGACTTAATGTTCCTAAACAATCAAGTTGGTGAACCTTTTTTCTGTATCCCATATTCTACAGTCCCTGTAATCAGCCCTATCCCACCATGCCTCCTTTCTTGATTATCTACAAACAGGAAATGAACCACATACTGTAATATACACAAGTTAAAAGCACTGAACCATTTTGCACTTGAGAAGCATCTGACAAAGGTTCAGGGTACAGAGCCCTGTTTGTTTCTCCTTGGGCCTCGTCCACATTACTCCATGCTGTCCTCAGCACACCACAATGTTCAGAGCAGGCCATCAGAGAAGGGGGTCGAGCGGGCGTCTGAGGATAAACGTGAGGTGGGCATGTAAAGCATGAAGCAGTTAAAGCTATGAACAAATATAACAGGAATTATTGAATCTCTTCAAAAAAAAAAAGACATTTCACACATTTTACATGAGTAGCAGGATGGGTAACAACCAAAAAAAAAAAAAAGGAGTGATTTCAGTAAAATTTGGTTTTGTGGCAGCTTGGAACAGACACAAGCAGGTGATCATCTGTAAACTCAAGGTGTAAGGTAAGGATTGGTTGCTACCAAACATTCAAAGCAGAAAGCATTCAGCTGTTGCTGCAAAAAGGAGGAGAAGAAAAGGTGATATCAAAGCTTCTCCTGTAAGGGATCTCCAGTCCCTTATATAAAGCCACCTCAGCTGCACTCAACCCTCTGTGATGCTCAGGAGATTATGAAGCATCTCCCAGTTTTCTTTCTTCCTGTGTTCTCGGATTCCTCAGTTGGAGTTCTTGCAGAAAATAAAGCTCTTTGTGTCTTTGTGAAGCAATTTTATAGAGCAATTGCAAATGGTTCTGCTTCCATCCTGAGAGAGTTGATGTACATCTGAACTCCAAGAAGTTACAGCGCAGGGCAAAGAACTTGCAGTGTCCAGTTTTAAGCCAGTCTATTCTCTCACAATTTCCCCCCTCTCTCTCTTCCTAGGCCTCAGGTGTTTCCTGTGTCCATTGTCTCATGGGTAATAACTTGCGGTTAGCATGTTTGAATGCGTTAGTGTGTGTGCATGTGGTTTCATTGCGATTTCAGGGAACACTGTTGGTAATTACCAGTGAATTTGCAGCAGTGTCAGTTTAGCCTTTAGTTTCAGTGACTCTTGTTTGTGCTATTTACAGGTAGAGTGTGTCCAGCTCCAGACTGCATGCATCTGTGTCAATGTTGTTCACATTTCCTCTTTTTTTTTTTCCTTGGCTGGCACAGCTTCATGTTGTTCTTGTTCAATGTACGGGTCTCTTCGATCAGAGAATTCTTTACACATTGGTGTTTGGGAGCGGATAAGACAGAGGTGCCAACATGCCCAGTGGGTTAAAGGAGAATAGTAAAACAAAAGAACACAAGGAAAAGAGTAGTACTTTCTTTTCCCAAAAGGATAATTAAACAGACTCAGGGTGCATAGGCACATTGGGGCATGGAGAAAAAAAACAAAAAAACAAAAAAAACAATCGGTTTCTTTTGTTATATCATTAATGTATAAAGGCAAGATAGATAGTTTACATAAGCATGTAACTGGAGGTAAACTACATCTTGGTAAGGCCAGAACCATAAGAGAAAAAGCTTTGAAACTTTACCAGCAGTAATGGATAATAGAACAATATATTCTCGTTTTACCCAGTGAACTTTGGTTGGTACCTCTGTTTTAACAACACCCTTTTCTTCTTCGCCATTTATGTGTTTCTGCTCAGCTTTACTCATCACCATCATCCTTCCCTTTATCCTTCTTGTCTTTTTTTTCCTTTTCCTTCTTCTTCTTCTTCTTCTTCTTGGCCTCCTCTTTCTTTCCAAAGGTGATGAAGTCACTCTTGTCGTCCTCTCCTCCCTGGTTCTGTCTGATAGATATTATGGCTGGGGAGCCAGGAATGATGAATGCTTCTGGAGGAACTTCACCAGGCTTCAGGTGCTGGGGAGGAGCTCCGGGGCCACCCGGGCCGTACCGAAAGTGCCAGCTGTTGCTGTCCACGCCTGCACCCATAGGTGGGGAAACCTCTCCCCCTTCACCATCTAAAAGACACAGAAAGATTAAGAATGAATTTCAAAGTTCTTGTGAATTTAAAGTATCAATGTACGTAATTATTTTACTATTAAATTAGATGTTGGCTTGTAAGTCCCTCTGCTTATGTCTTTTAGAAATTAAGAACCATCTCTTGCTACCATAAATAAGTAATAAGCCTCATACCACTGCATTTTTTATTTTTTATTTATACTGAAAACTACATGGATCTCACTGCCTTGCTACATATGCTTGTAAGAGACAATCTTACTGGGTCATCTTTCAGTCAGCTGCTACAAATTAAATCATAGTTACAGCATTAAGAGGCATGACAAATTCATAAAATCAAAGTCAGCCCAATCTAATTCAATGATTATCTCAGAACCTTATCATCATTATTAACAAACAACTCATGCTTTTGAAGGAGAGGGGGAGATAAAATTAATGGGTGATTTCTTGAAAGCGAAAAACTGCTATTACAATCATATTATTTGTTTTTCCAAGACATGCTGATAATACAACCAGCACAAGTTTAAATTTGTTCAGATTTGCATAGATGCACTTTCTGCAGTCATGGCAGAAAATGTGTCACTTTGAAACATGGTCCATTAATTTCCGATGGGGTTGAGCTCAGGGCCAGCATGCAAAACACATGACTAAAACTCAATAATATCTTATTTCAGTAAGCAAAGGGTTAAGAAAGGACATGGAGCCATTTTGCTAATCTACAAAGCAATGACCTACTTGCCACAGCTTCCTCACATATCCCTTTTGCTTCTCTGATTCCTTTCCTGAGCTGTTACCAAAGGAGATTAACGGAACTCTGCTACATCCAACCCAAAGAAATCATGTCTGGTAAAAGAGGACTGACCTCCTGTTCTACTCAGTGCAGAAAATAAACAAATCAGATTTTTTTTGTTGACCAGATCATTACCCACAGAGCTTAACATTTCAAGTTAGAATTTTGCTGCAAAAGTGCAGAAAATACTAAAAAGATGTCATTTTTTTCCAAACTTGACATTTATAGGTTAGTGTATTGGTTGTAGTGTTTAAAAAACTAGAGGTCAAGGTATATAGTTTTTAATGTTTCTGTAAATCAGACTAAAAACATATTTTGTAATAGCTTTTTTTCTTAGTCTATTCGGAGTCCTCTATTAAAATGGCAACTAAATCCCATAGAAACAGTTTTCTGTTCAAGCAGTGCATCTATTTCACACACCACACACTGTTATCTCTCTCATGGTTTCATCAAATGAGAAAATGTCGACATGAGTTGCAGTCACCACATCAAAATGAAACTGAAAAAGTCACACTTTTGCCTCAGGAAAAGTCCTTATTTGACTCCTGTACTTGAAATCTGAGAGGGATTCTCAATTTATGGATGGATGAAGCCCAAAAGTGGTAATTAAGAGCACCAAATAGTGAACTAGTGGTGAGGCGTTGCTATAAAGCATCCATTTTGTTGGTTCTAAAATAATACCTGTCTAACTCAAAGTGAGAACTTGATGAGACAGCGGTGCCTATGTGCAAACTCGCACTAATAAACTAAATTACACCCTAGAGAGTGATGAGTCATGCTGAAAGCAGACAAATGGAACAAAGTAAGGCAGGCCAGAAAAACACAGTGTTGTTTTATTCTTTTAGGAATTAAAAGTAATTTGGAACATTGAAATCTTAGGATATCTATATTAAAATCTTCAGAGAGTAAAATGCTCAGTTGTAGATTGCTAGGGGTTTAATTATTTACAATTATAATTAAAATATATTTTCGTAAAAGTAAAAAAAAAAATCCACTGGACTTGGTTTCCAAGATTTGAAGACGTTTTGCCACCTCTCCAGAAGGCTTTCTCAATTCAATTAAAATATAGTTTTTTATATTTCCATTCATTAAATAAAAAAAATATATATATATTCTTAGTTGATTTAGCTTTTTCTGATTTCTAACTGTTTTTATCAGGATGTCTGTCTCTCCTTATGGTATTATGTCCCCTTGTCCATTAATTCTCCAAGGAACCCCCCCCCCCAACTCTTATTTCCCCTGACCTTTCATCTAATGTGGCGTAAAAAACACTGTAAGCACACATCCATCCCTCTAACTAATTGATGTGACTCTTAATTATGGACCATAAGTGATAGTTGTAAAACTGATGTGATCGAGTTTTAAAATGCTTTTCCATAATAATTGCTATAATTGCCAAGCACATCAGAGACACTTATATGTTTTTCATAGATATTGCTCTCTATGCATTTGATGTCTGGACATTTGAACGCTGCTGCCTAAAGGGTGTCATGGCAACCTATCTTATTACAGCTTGTGATGTTTTTTGCTTGTTCTCTCTGTTGAATTTCATTCCTGAAATCATCAGTCCAGCTTCCTCTTGTGTCAATGTCCCTTTATTCTCTTTATGCCTCCAGTGGGTTTTCACAGCCACTCAAATCACCCAAGCTCCATTTTGCCACATCTACTTTATTCATCCGCTTGTCTTGCCCTACCATCAGCCAGTTGGACAGTTGCAAAGAGAAGTGCTGCGCAGCGTTACATAACTTGCAGAGAAGAAGGAGGGGGAGGAGGAGGAAGACAGGCCAGGAAGAGCATGGATGCAGATAAAAATCTTTACGTAGAAGTAAAGGGGGAAAGATGGAAAATAAAAGATCCCTGGGATGTGATTCATCACAATTCAACCGTGCAGAGGGGCCACACCTGTTTATAGAGGATATATTGTAGCCTTCTCTGCACAAGAACAAAGAAATGACATTGCTATCATCTCAACAATCAAATGCGCTATTCATATTGTGATGGCTTTCAATGGTAGAATCTCAAAAATCAGGACACATTCAGTCGATCATCTGATTGCCCCAGGACGGGAGAAGAAGCATTTATTTAAAAGATCAAATGGACATGCTGTCCACTTATCGAGCGCTGAACATTCCAACAGAACACATCTGGCTTTTTCTCAACTCTCATTCAAATCTGGGCATTTATATAGTTTCAACATTGCACTGTGTGGATGCACGAGCACAACTCGACGCTCTGAAGAACTTCCTGGAAGTTCTTGGCCTGTGACCCGATTGCGTGCGAGTGGGCCTTAAAGACCCTGTTTTTGCCAAGATTTGTACGTGACTTCCAGCCTGCTTGCTCTGTGTTATCAAGTGAGCTTAAGGTCACAATAACATAAGGCAACACAATTTGCTTCTATAATATTTGTGTTATTGTTGCATCTTTATTTATGACAGAGCACAACTGAGTGTCTCCATGATTTCAAATGTATTCTAAAATCTATTGAAAAGAAACAAAGCCATGACTAATGGCAAAAATCTTGATGATGATGCCTGGTGTTAAATGTGTTTGCCTGTGTGTACAATTATTTCTATAAATCAATATGCTTTTTATCAGTTTTATCAAATTGTTCTGTATCCCCAGGTAACCAATAAAATAGATGGTTAATGCAAACTTTAAAGGTATAGACTGGTTCAAAAATCTTTCTTTGCAAGTTTATTAGCACCTGTGCATCTAAAGGACAACTCAGCATTGTTTGCATGTCAAAAAAGAACAGTGTGAAGAGAATGGTTTATTTTTTCCTGCTATAAAGAGAGAAAGTACTGGCAATAGATTAAAAGGCAATGAAATCAGAGGATGGAACAAAGCTAACAGCGAAACGAAAATAACAAGGCCAAAAATAGGAAGCAGGTGGGCTGAAGGGATTCAAAAATAGAGGAATATTCAGGTTGCTTTTATTCTTCCCTACCTTAACTTTTTGAATGAGCCAAAAAGGCTTCTATGTTATCAGCAGTATGCCTGAAAGAATATTGCAGTCTTAAAATGTCCACAGTTCTGTTTTACTTGCTCCTCCTTTAAATTCACATAAAATGTATAATTAATTCAAGAATGAAAAGTATTTCCAAAAACAGTTACACCGAAAAAACCATGACGGAAGTCCTGATAAATATGCTTTAGTGTAGTTTTTGTCTATTTTTTGTCTTTTATTTGTCCAGGTTGTTTTTTGCCACTTGGAAATTTGCCTACTGCAGTTGATGACTGTTAACCCAGTTGAAAACTGTCTTTCTCTGCACCAGCAGTCATGGTCAATGTGTCACTATGAGTGTGAGATGCTCTAGGATGATATCGAAAACAGTAAACCTGCATCCATATCTGCAATACACCACCGCCCTTATGAAAGTAGGTCACTCTTCTGCTTCTCCCTCCTCTTTTCTCTGGTTTGATTAAAAACTTTCCTCTTGAATTCCTATTTTTTTAAAGACCAGCAGAGCTTTTTTAACTCTAGTCTTCCGTTCCCATGAACATATTTACATGGATTATACCTTCAATATTCTTGTCCTTCACAAAGTGCTCTTTTATTATTCATCTGATTTTCCACCTTTTTTTTTTGTCCTGCACCATATGTTTGCACCCCATCCTATATACACCCACCGCAGTTTCCTTCCACTCCTGCCAATATCAGGGCTGTGAATGGTTGCTATGGAAACAACATCTTCCTGTGAAGCAGCAGGACATTGGTAGGAGTCATGGTGACAGTGCTTATGTTGATGGAGAATAATGCTAGAAGCTTTCTCACTCCCTCTCACCACTGTCTGGTCTAACCAGACTCCCCTAGCAACAGCAGCCTAATTCATCCTCCCCTCTGTTTTGCAGGCTTTGTCTCAGTCAATCAGTGTGATTTAGTCACTGTCACTCCTTCTTAAACAGTCCATTACTTATACCATATTACTCAAATTTTTCTTTACCTTACATCTTTAGCATTGCAAGTCATTCCTTTAACTCGCTCCTCCTCGTCTATCCTTATTTCACTTTAGTATATCTGTTTTCTTATTTTTCATACAGTTAAGTGCAATAATTGACATACCAGCTTGTTTTAACAGCAGATTAGCGAATTAGAGGGGCAGGCAGGATGATGTCACAGTGTGATTGATGAATAGATAGGAAGAAAAACAACAAGCGTAGTCCTGGTTCCCCTAACGTGGCTCTGTTAATCTGGGCGTGGGCTGTGCACCATCTGCCCCAGCAGGAGCTGCACACAAAGGAGGCAGACCAAACACTTGGGCTCACTTGGTTTAATAAGGGGGCATACATATTTAAAAAATGAGGCTTTGAGTACAGTTTCAAAATCAGAGGGGAGAAAACAAGGGCGTTGTCAGCTGCCTCAGGCTCACAGTGGAGACAGCATCCTATCATTAATGAAACCATCCTTAAACAATGCCATCAAAGAAGTAACATTAAGGACAGAGACCACCTGACAGACAAAAAGATTCAGTTATAAATAGCACCGCCTGGGACTCATACAAATCTGTCTGGTCAAAATAAATCAGTATCTCCATTTTTCCCTCTCGCAGACATGATGAAGCACAACCAATTTGAATGTCAAAAGATAACTCGTTCTCTTTATCATCATGAATGCAGATCTATAACTTTTTTTCATATTTCTATCCCTGTGAAGCCTGAAACTTTCACTTTCACATCATAATAATTATTTTGTTTTATTTATAATATAACATTTACCTATTCTTAACCAGACCAACATGGAGAAAAAGAGCGGACATGCAGCCCTCAGGTTAAAATGGGGTTAGTGTGTGTGTGTCTCAAACTGTGACAGCCAGATGAGACCACCTTAAGCCCTGATCTCATAGCCACTGATCTGCCCAAAGGACGTCACTGCTGTCTGTTGTGTCCTCTCCCTCTTCCTTGCTTGTCTGTTTTCGCTCTCCATTTTATCCCTCATGTTTGGAAGTGCCTGCAAGCTGTAAGTCCTCAGCCAAGGCATGAAATCGATGGTGTAGCGGAGGAGGTTGTACGTAAGTGTGGATGGGAAGGGACAATCATTAGCGTAGGCGGTTTGTCTGCATTCATAGTTTACTGCCTCCTCTAAAAAAAAAAATGGACATCTTGGGGCCCAGCTTAAACCATTCTCTGATCACAGCCCAATGTTGACACCCTGCTCCAGTATAATTGTACAAGTGGCTGCCTTTTATTAATTCCTACATGATTTTTTATTTAGGTCGTAACACTAAAGCCACTTTCCATAACCAATAGCAAAGCAATGATCTAAGTTTTCTACAAGGTATATGTAGCAGTGTAAATATAAAGGAGGCTGTTTTTGCATCATGGATATTAATAAGAAGCATTGTAGGTGTCAAAATATTAATACTGACAAATGGATGAAAAATAAACATTAATTGTCTTAATGGTGTGTGGGCTTCCAAAGTATTCTCAGAACAGCTTTGGAAAGTCTGAGTATTGAGGTTACATGTCCATTGAACTCTACTTGAAAAATGGAAGTCGATTTTTATTTTTATTTTGGGCACTTTATTCTATTAACATTAACAGAAGAGAGACTAACAAAGGCAGGCACAATGAACTAAAGAAAATATTTGTTCATATATGTTTTAATTCAATGTCGAATAGAATAAATTGATCCACGCCACACCTTATTTATACCTAAAATGAGTAGATAAACCACACTAAGCATTCATCTGTTTCAAGCTGGTAGAGTTAAAGTAAAGTCATTATGTTGCAATTTCAAATGTTTTTCTACAGGTATTTTTTTTAATTTTTTTTTTATCTTTAGCAAAGCAATTTTCAGTTAAACCATGGTGTACTGTTCATGTTTAACCCTTTTTCTGAATGTGAATGAAAAATTAGGATACAGAGTAGATGTTTATCAAAATTTCTAAACTGATACCAAACATTCTGATCAAGTTTGAATATTGGATGGAAAACTTATTTCCTGGACAACATTTAAAACTAACTGAACTAATTTCATATAAACTATAACCTAACTTTAAAAACAACATAACTTAATAAGTAATATGATTTCTTGTGTGTGAGTGGGCAGAGCTCAAGGAACAGAAAGGAACAACATTAAATGGAGATCACAATCATATCCGATCTCCATGTTTGTTCTTTGTGGCTCCCTGATTTATGTCTCCTCAAACATTTTGCTGATAATCCAATCAACTGCTCTCTTTCTCTCACTTCCCTTCTCATTCACTGTTTTCTCTCTGCTCTCTTCCTGTCACAGAGAGCAGAGACATCCATCTATACCAAGACAGCAAGTTTCCTTTCCTCTTGCTGGGAGAGTGGGACATGGTAGGACTAAATCAAGGCAATCTCATATATGATATAGTTATTTCATTATTGAATTTTGATGCCTTTTTAATCTTCAGTTATTAGTTAATAATTCTCTGAAACAATGAGATAATGTTTTTTGCCTTATCAACCAAAGCAATAAAAGTAGGGTTTTCAAAATGAAAGACCTGGCTTGTTCTCATTCTGTTCTGTTCTTGGTATTAAGTCACAAACCATTTTTTAATTGCTTTAGCTATAAGTTGAGAATTGCTTTACGATTTCTTACCAGCAGCACTCGACGCAGTGGGCCAGTTCTGAACCAGCACTCCTTGGGCTCCCTGCATGACTGAAGACTCTTCCATGTGCACAGAACTAAAAACAGAAAGACACACTGACTAGTTAAAAACAAGGTTATTTTTACACATACAATATGCTTTATGTGTATCTAGATTACACAGCATCTGTAATTGTGATTTTCTATCAGCTATTGCGAGTTTCGACTAAATTTTGTAATACAGTAAAATGTACAGATAATATACTTTCGTAAGTCCTTATACTGTACGTCTTTAACTCATAGGTGTTTGTGGTTATTTAGAATTAATTTATTCAGTGGGGTTTGTTGACACTCTTCAAAGAATAAAAAAATCTATGTTGACGTCAAAATGTAAAACAAAGTCTCAATGCAACTTTTCTCCCAAATTCTTTGGGATTATGGTTACAGATGTAAATATCTAGATTTTCACAAACAAAATGGATGAGATATATGTGCTAAGAAAGAAACAAAATTCTCAAATGGTGGGGGCCATTTTAAGCGCTGCTTTTCCTGCACTTATTAATATCACAGAAGCTTTATTAAATGCTTATGGAAAAACTAAATATTCTTTTTAAATATAGTCTTTATCTTCTCTTCATATAGAGTGCCATTGAACAGTATTCTAAACTCTTTAATATTTTTTACATTTTTGTATTTTCTACAAACAAACATTTTTTGCATACATTTGTGTATCACTCCACTGTCAACATTCCTTATTTTTTAACCCATTGCTCATTGAGACTAGACAAAAAAAACGTCTATGCTTACATACAATGGGTGAATGAGAAACTACATTCAATTATTCCCATATGCATATAACATTTATGGCAGAAGCAACAATGATGCCACAGCTGCTCTGGACCAGACTAACAGAAACTAGGCTGCGATAATCACAAAATCGGCAGCTCTGACCACCAACAAGCAGGCAGTATAGTTGTATTGTCTAGTCCAAGGACTAAGTGACTACAAAGGATTAAGTGGTGGTTCAACCTAAAAAATCAGTTACAGGACAACGCTCACCTCCTGAGCCACTGTTTACTATAACCAATCATTTTCAAGTGTTGCCAGAAATTCTAAATTTGATTTAGATCTAAAGTCTGATTGAAGTTTGCCATCAATTCTATCAAGTAATACTGCTGTTTGTTATGGCTCTTCGTCTTGCAAGGATGTAAATATCTGCCTAAGCCTCAAATACTTTGCAACCTCCATTTCTTTCACTATTGCCTTGTATTTAACACTGTTTTAACCCTTCCTTGAACTCTAATCTGTTTTCCTGCCTGTGCTTAAGTAAAGGGCTCACTGCTGCTTCAGGGTGATGTATGGTGTTCATTTCTTTTCCTCCACACAGAACATTCTAAACATTTTCTGAGATCCTAAAATGGTTATTTGCAAACTGCTTCTTCTGATTTTCTTTTAGTAATAGCTTTCCTTCTGCTGCTCTTCTATAAAGTCTAGGTTTTGGACAAATACAACTACGGTAAACGTTTTCAAGTCACCATGTTATCCTCTTAGAGTTATTATGGACATCCATAAAGCTTAACTCCTTACTTGTCAATTTGGGTGGACATTCCTTAATATTTTTGCAGTTGTGGCATATGCTTTCCATTTTTATCTACTGGATTGATTATCAATCAGCAACATGTTCAAAGCTTGGGACATTGTCTTATCATAGAACCCTAGGGAAAACTTCTCCATACCCTCAACCTTTACCTGTCTGGTGAGTTATTTGGCTCCAATGTTGCTCGTTCAGCATTGTTCTTTAACAACAAATATCTGATTCTGTCACAGAGCAGCTGTATTTATATTACATTTCAATAACATATAGGTGGCCTCTATACACTAGGTAACTTCTGTAGGATTCTGGTAACCGGCATTTTATTTTGGAATCTAAGTAAAAGTAGTTGAAAACTGCACTCCAAACATTTCAGAGTGTCGCATTAAAAACATATTAAAATCGTGGATTGTTTTCTATACTCTTAAGAAATAGGTAATACCCTGTATTGGTTAATCGCATGTTGTTGCAACACAACCAAATATTAAGAAACTGCTGGAAAGTGGATAACTTTTCATTATTTTCCTACATTCTCTAATCAAAGTTGCAGTTGCAGTTTTTAAAGGGAATCCATCTAATCAGAATTTCTTGTGTGATTAAAAATAACCTAAAATCATTCTAAATATCAAATCATAAGGTACATGTTAGGATAATTATCACTGATGATATGTGAGTCTATTACACCCTAATATTACCTGCCTGTTGCATGTCAGAACTAATGTTTTCCCAAGTAGTTTATCTAATTAGGAAAGTTCCTCTGTCCGGCTATATACAGTTATCATCTTCAAGATTTGGGAATGGAATGAGAGTGGTGTCCTTGATCTAATAACAAAGTGTAACATTTTGATAAGGATGGAGCAATGGATGTCTCCTCATCTGCAAACATGTATGATGTGATAATCTGGCAGACTGGAGTTGTATAAAATGCTTCTCTAACTGTGAATCGTGGTCACTTCATGAGATGTGAGCCCAGTTGGTAAGCGCTACCTTCAAAGCAACTTCCCTGATTCGAGTAAGATTGCAAATTCTATCAAAATCTGTTGTCCTGTCTGATGGTTATTTAATACATATACATTATGAGGTGTTATTTAAAGACTATGTCCTAATTGATCTTTTTGCAGAATAAGAACCGGAGAGAGAAACCTCAAGGCGTAAACACACAGCTTTCATATGTTAAACCATGCATCCATCCATCTTCCGTCATACTAATCCCTCCTGGGATCGCGAGGGGTGCTGGTGCCTATCTCTAGCTGTTTACAGGCAAGAGGCTGGGTACGACCTGGACAGGTTGCCAGTCCATCGAAGGGCCAAACATTAAACCTTTGATTAAAAAGGATGCATGGGACCTGGGTTAAAATCTCAGTTGCATCAGGAAGGGCATCCGCCGTAAAGGCATTCCCAGGTTTTTGAGCGAGTCTTATTGACTCACTTTGCCAGCTAATGGATAAGGGAGGAGCGAAAGGAGACAAACATTTGGTTAAAAAAAAAAGTAAATAAATAAATCCTTCTCATGCTTTGTTAAAATGTGTGCATAAAATGTTCAACAAAAATTTTGTTTGTCATCAGATCAATTGGTATCTACGTGTATGTTTTAAATATATGTGACAACAACAAAATATATTTAATGCAGGTTAACCTAAGTTCATTAAATCTCTTCTGCAAGAATTTAAACAGTGATGCCAACAGAAACAATAATAATGTAAACAAAAATATGTGTATATAGATGGCATATGTTTTAGGTGTATTTAACTATCCTACGGTATAAGCTTTTAGGTTGTGCACTACTTGCAGACATTCAAATTTCTGACCAGGTGGGTGTGTATGCCTGTGTGTAATGATTGATTCAGCTATCATGAACTCTTTGATATCAATATAGTTTGAATCTTATGTGAAATAAGACTCCAAAAAGAATCTGTCTTTTAGAAACAGAACAACTGGTGTGGTTATGCAACATGTCTTTATGTCACTTTTTCACCGGATGATCTTTCCTTCATACATCACTGACCATCTCTCCATTTTGTCTCCCCCCTGTCAGTAATCCATCTGTCTGTGGTAACATGAAGTCGCCTATTTTCAATTGAATTTTTCTGCCTTGAACTTCCTAAATCATGTATTTCATTTAAGGTTGAAGTATTAAGAACACACACATATGTATGTATGTATATATATATATATATATATATATATATATATATATATATATATATATATATGTATATATATATATACACTCTCGTTCAAAAGTTTGGGGTCACATTGAAATGTCCTTATTTATGAAGGAAAAGCACTGTACTTTTCAATGAAGATAAATTTAAACTACTCTTAACTTTAAACAAATACACTCTATACATTGCTAATGTGGTAAATGACTATTCTAGCTGCAAATGTCTGGTTTTTGGTGCAATATCTACATAGGTGTATAGAGGCCCATTTCGAGCAACTATCACTCCAGTGTTCTAATGGTACAATGTGTTTTCTCATTGGCTCACAAGGCTAATTGATGATTAGAAAACCCTTGTTCAATCATGTTCACACATCTTAAAAAACAGTTTAGCTCGTTACAGAAGCTACTAAACTGACCTTCCTGCAGATTGAGTTTCTGGAGCATCACATTTGTGGGGTCAATTAAACGCTCAGAATGGCCAGAAAAAGAGAACTTTCATCTGAAACTAGACAGTCTATTCTTGTTCTTAGAAATGAAGGCTATTCCATGCGAGAAACTGATAAGAAATTGAAGATTTTCCTACAACGGTGTACTACTCCCTTCAGGGGACAGCACAAACAGGCTACTGCGGGTACTATTTAATGAAGATGCCTGTTGGGGACCTGTGAGGCGTCTTTTTCTCAAACTAGAGACTCTAATGTACTTATCTTCTTGCTCAGTTGTGCAACGCGGCCTCCCACTTCTTTTTCTACTCTGGTAGAAGTTTGTGAGATGCATAACAAATGAAAAGATGCTGGAATAATGCCTGACGCCATCTGTTAAGCATGGTGGAGGTAATGTGATGGTCTGGGGTTGCTTTGGTGCTATTAAGGTGGGAGATCTGTACAGGTTAAAAGGGATTCTGAATAAGGAAGGCTATCACTCCATTTTGCAATGCCATGCCATACTCAGTGGACAGCGCTTGATTGGAGCCAATTTCATCCTACAGCAGGACAATGAACCTAAACACACCTCCAAATTGTGCAAGAACTATTTAGAGCAGAATCAGGCAGCTGGTATTCTATCGGTAATGGAGTGGCCAGTGCAGTCACCAAATCTGAACCCCATTGAGCTGTTGTGGGAGCAGCTTGACCATATGGTGCGCAAGAAGTGCCCATCCAACCAATCCAACTTGTGGGAGCTGCTTCTAGAAGCGTGGGGTGCAATTTCTCCTGATTACTGTATCTCAACAAATTAACAGCTAGAATGCCAAAGGTCTGCAATGCTGTAATTGCTGCAAATGGAGGATTCCTTGACGAAAGCAAAGTTTGATGTAGAAAAAAAAAATTCTTATTTCAAATACAAATCATTACTTCTAACCTTGTCTATGTCTTGACTCTATTTTCTGTTCATTTCACAACGTAAAACAAATTATTTACAAAACTAAACAGTGTTTTAGAAAATCTACATGTTTTTATATATTTACTTTTATAATATACTTTTTAGAAACATACTAATCTTAAAACTTTCAACTTTCTTTTTCAATTGTCTCCTCACATTTGAACAAACAGTACAACACAGACATTTAACAATCTGAATCAGGTGACAGAGGGAATAAACCTGCTTTGCCTACAACCACACACATCTTTTTGGTTGAGATCACAACACTTGCATGCTATTTTATGATTTACTAAAATGGAAAATATTCTGAAAAGAATTTCCCTTGTGATTTTTATAATAATAAAATCTATAACATTAAAAAACTGCAACTAGGAACCCCTGTAAATTATAATCTAAAAATAAGAAGTGAATGTGTTGAAGTATAAATGCTTCAGTGTTCACCTGGACCAACAAATCCACAAGAAGGGACAAATCCAGTATAAGACTGACCACTACATATAATCCTTCCTGCCTTCAGCAATCAACATTTACAACAACCAATAAAGAGTAAATTAATTTCCCTTTGGGATCAATAAAGTATTTTTTTATTCAGTTTAACTGAATAAACTCTGGCTGCACAGTGTCATAATGGGTAGCACTGCTGCCTTGCAGCAAAAAAGTTCCTGGGTCTTTCTGCATGGAGTTTGAATGGTCTCCCTTTGCATGTGTGGGTTCTCTCGTTACTCCAGCTTCCTCCCACAGTCCTGTTTGTCTCTGTGTTGCCTTGCGATTGGCATTGTGTCCAGCGTGTACCCCGCCTCTCGCCCACTGAAAGTGAAAGATAGGCACTAGCACCCCTCACGAACCCAACAGGGATAAGCGTGATGGAAAATGGATGGATGGATGAATAAATTCTACTGTGCACTAAAGACCTTTATGTAATCTGCCATAATTTGTTTATATTGAAAGACTTTCAAATAATTACAGGATATAGTAAGGTAATTTTTGAAGAATATTTAATTGTATGCAGTATTTTTATTGTTGTTTGTTAAGGTCTCTGGATCAATTAACATTTTATGCCACTTATGAAATTTAGCTACATTAACACAGTTTAATATTTAAGAATATAATTGAGCGTGACTGTAAAATATTTAGAGCAAAGAAACAGAGAATGTGAAGCTCACCTCTGCATTACACCGCCTGCTCTCAGTGAGGCCGAGTATCTCCAATCCGAATTAGGTGCCTTTGGCTGGAAAAGAAAATGAGAGGAATTGAGTCTTAAGTACAGGGAAAAGCCAATACCATCGCATTAATAAGTCATGGTGAGAACCGCTGATGAATGTGTGCCACACACACACACAATCAAGCGACGACAGCTTTGTCCAGCCTTCGAAAAGAAATGAGTAATGAGCAGAATATTGTAATCTCCAACTCCCTTCTTCCATCCCTGAATTGGAGGGGAAAAATGACTTTCAAAGAGTTTACTTCAGCACTTCTACCAGGTGCTTAGTCACATAAAAATAAAATAAGACACACAGCATGCATCATTTTACAGTGGCACAGCCAAAACACAGCATTATGACAAAAATCTCCTGAACATGATTTGGAAACAGGCAAACACAAATATACAAATGTAGACCTTTCATGCTATAAAGAAATGCAAAAAAAATCCAACTTTAATAATAATTATAACTTAAATAATAATAATGTTTAATATCTAGACCTCCCTTTCTTTTCTTTACTTCTTATGCTTCCTCACCCACTCTATTGTGCTATTCACATCCTCCTTTCACATTCGCTTTAAACAAAACCTTACATTTTACTCTCACAAAATCTGCCAGAGATTATAGGAAATCTCACCATGGAAACTATACAGAACTGTGTCTATCTTTTGCTTCCTGCCCATCGTCCTTCTGTCATATCTGTTCAGTGAAGGTCACATGCAGAAGGAGGGTGAGGGGGTGGAGGGACAGATATCAAATTAACTTCCTTGCTATCAGACCAGCAAGGTTCTACAAAGGACAACTTAAGAAAGAATAATTCCTCTTTGTCTTTGGTTTAAAAATGGCTAAAATAAAACAAATCCTCTACATTTGTTAACTTGAAAAAATATATAAATAAATAATTTTGATGAAAGATTATAATTAAAGGAAAGCAATATCATTATAACCATTTCATCAAGAAGAGGTTGTGTTTCCTCCATTCTTAACCTTCAAAGAGATAAACTGACACCTTATTTCCTTTGTTTAGCCATGCAGTTCATGAGACCCATTCGCAATCTCATTTCCCTTCACATATGACAGATGTTCACTAGATGCTACAGCTGCATCGGCCCCCATGAGTCTGCAGTGGGCATTAATCACAATTGAAATTCAATATTTACTTTAATGAGAAAGGTCTACTTTTTTTTTGTACCTCCTGGAGACATTTAAAGGACAGTAATGTCGACAGAGAAGACAATGCAGAATTTGTAGACACCAGAAAATGAGGGACAAATGCGATTATAGTGTGATTTAAAAACCATCAGTGTAAGATAAAGGGCTGAGATATTAGTTTGAACAATATTATGCACTCAAATAAAACCTCTTATGTTTTATTCCAACCACATTAAGCAATGATAAACAACAAAATAGGACCAGATTGTTCACAAAATGGGACTAAACAGCTTTGTTCTCTCTGTTGCAGCACAGAAGTGGCCAAAGGGAGACTAGTCTGTTTGGCCGTATGGTGTTTATGGAGGTAAACGCAATCACAGGAAAGTATACAAACATTAAAATTCAAGCATCTGGAACATAAACATGGCTGCAGTTAACTATACACCCAGGGGGGAAAGTGGGCTATTAACACTTCACACAGGAAATACAGACCAAAGTAAATAGAAAAACAAAAAGATGCTTAGGAAAAAATTTTATAAATATATACTGTTTTGTCGTGGAAATGGAGGAAATTAAGTGTAGACAGAAAAAAAGAAAATCCCATGGGCTTTTGAGCAGTAGCTTCCTTCCGCTAAGTTCTATTAACTGAGTAATTAAAAACTCAAGGTTTTGCCATCCTTTTTCTTTCAATTTCTTCTATTCTCTTCTCTTCCTGAGAGAAAGTTCCTTCCATGGATACAGAGCTCACACCTCCGCCATCAACACTCTGTCCAATCACCTTTTATCCCCCGCCTCATCAGCTTCTAAGCAGCCAATCCTCAGACAGAGCCAACAAAACACTGCTGCTGTTTAATTACACAGCAAGTGAAAACATGACTGGCATTTAATGAGAAACAGGTCAAGTGATAGCGGCACAATAATCTTAAGTCTTTCCTTATTGCTTCAAAATTAATTTTCTTCTCAGCTATCTCTTCTGACACTGCATAGAGAGCCTTTTGTGTAAAGGAGGCATTAGTATGTTTTACAAAAACTAAAAGATACAAACTGGACATTTTGGATCTGACTGTGTGATGTGCATTCTAAAATATGCAGTCAAATCTTTACTGTGAAAGAAACAAAACCTAAAATATTTTCAAGTTCTCTATTAATTCTTACACTATTTTACTGTAAAAGTAAAATGTTGAACAGCATATTTGATTTTGTGGGACATGTGGTACTGATAGCAGCCAAATCTGCTCTAATTCCTGGACACTGCATAGAGATAATATTCTAGACCTGCTTAAACTACTTTGATATTGTGATACACTTCTTGCATCATAAATATAACAAACGTAAACAAAGCACTCTCTGACAGATCTCCTCCTACTGAAATAAGTAAAACTGAGCTTACATTACAATTGCTGCAGAGGTTTAGTTGTTCATACATATTTCACTTTATCTTGACTGTAATGGCATCCACAGTTAATTAATTATGTCCTTGGATTTACAAAACAACAAGGGATATCACAGTCCAATATTAATATTGGAAATTCGGCCGATATTAGCCAAAAAATGAAAATTAAAAAATCTCATACTGCATCTAAAACCACCAATTTAAGCAAGCTGATTGAGACATTTCACCTCTATCCACTTCTGTTTAAAGTTGAAGTAACTCATTGTTTAATGGCTCAGTTATTTTCACACCTATTGTTGTTGACTATTGTATTGTTCTCCTTTTGAGTAACATTACTTGTTCAAGCGTTTTCTAACATCCCAGACAACAAATTGAGTAATTGAAGTATGCATGATTTCAGCTTATATTATATTAGGTCAATATTCAAAGCTGCATTATTGGTATAATAACAATAATTAAAAAGATACATTAGGACATTCCTAAAAACAAATGCTAGTGCCTGTGGGGAAAAACACAAAGTGTAATATCCCACAGGGAAATGGAGCTATACACTAGCAAAGCATAGTGTATAGCTTACCACTAAAATAGTAAATCAACTCTGAAGCTGCTTGATATACCTGGCAATAAATATATGCAAATTAATTACTATCCTACACTATTGAATAACTGCAATAGAGTAATAGACCTTTGGCCTTAATTTTTTTTTACATATTATGAGCTAATTTGAGAAAACCCAAAAGATAAAACAATGTAACTGCTCAACTACAACTTAAACCACAATAAGAATAAATAAATCTATGGCTATAATAACTCCAGAGTAAATGCAAAGTGAAAAGCATGCTTAGCCACATCTGAAATACCACAAAGATTATACCAGACAACACACCTGGATAGCAGTTGCATCTGGCATACTGAGTCGCCGCACAAATATCTGGCTCTGCCCGCTGTGGCTGGTGACATAGCCTGAGCCCCAGGTGCCACTGTGAGGCCTTCCCGTGTTGTAGAACATGAAAGTGTCACTCCCTGATGTAGCAGTCAAGCATGTCTTATAACAGTATGTTTTGGTCAAAGACCCATTTCCTCTCACTTCAATATAATGAGGCTCCACTTTGAGGTCACGGCGCAGGGCCACGTTGATATTTTGCTGCCCTCCTCCAACCCCTCCACTTCCACCACCTCCACCTGAAGCCCTTGCTCCACCACCACCACCTGCTGAAGTTCCACCCTCTGGTACGTTCTTCTGGGAAACACAACATGGGGAACAGGAACCGCTCTGGCTACAGTAGGCATGACATCGAACAATTGCAAGAACAAAGACAGTGACCAGGAATACAAACGTTGTGGCACACAGGGCTATGATGAGGTAGAGAGTGACGGGGGAAAACATTAGTGGGCTGTCAGGCCTGACAATCTGCTTTGGGTCAGGGGTAAACTTTGAAGGAAGGTCCATCACTTGCACGTGGATAGTAATGGTTGAAGAGAGTGGTGGTGTGCCATGATCACGAACCAGGATAGTTAGAACAAAGGTAGTAGAGTTGTCTTCAATGACACGCCTGGTGGTGCGGATTTCACCAGTGTACTCATGCACCTTGAATAGGTCAAGGTCTTTGTTGGTCTGTTCCAGGGCATAAAACAGCCAAGCATTCTGTCCTGCATCACCATCCCATGCCGTCACCTTGCTAACCAAATGGCCAGCTTCAGCATTTTTCATTAGTGTCTCATTGGTAGGTGGATAGACAATCCTGGGAACGTGATCGTTCTGATCCATAATGTAAACATACACTGTGACCACACGGCTGAGGGGTGGAACACCATTGTCCTGGGCTTTAATCTGAAAATGAAACTCTCGAAGCTTTTCAAAGTCAAATGAACGCAGGGCATAGGCCTCACCTGTGTTTGGTTTGATGCTGACATAGCTGGCTACAGGTATCCCATGGTTGTTATCATTGAGGACAGTATAAGTTATACGGGCATTTTCTGCATCATCTGCATCCGTGGCCTTAACAACGCAAAGTGATGCACCAGGAGCATTGTTCTCTGTAATATAGACAGTATATGAAGCCTGCTCAAAACGAGGTGGGTTATCATTAACATCTGCAACATCTACCCTGAAGCTCATTTGAGATGATAAGGGTGGTGTGCCTTCATCCACAGCACTGACTGTAACATTGTATGATGAGATGGTTTCCCGGTCTAGGAAAGCAGATGTAACTATGGTATAGTGGTTTCTAAAAGACTTAATCTTAAAAGGTAAGTGGGGCATGATTTCTAGCGACACCTGTTTGTTTTGTCCAGAATCTCGATCATTCACACTAATCAATGCCACCACCGTGTCTGCTCGTGCATCCTCACGCACAGGACTAGAAAGGGAAGACAATACAATCTCTGGAATGTTGTCGTTGATATCCAATACTTCAACAACTACTTTACAGTGTGCTGCCACCGGGGCTGGGCCTTTGTCCATTGCTTGTATGTACATTTCATAGGAGTTAGTTTCTTCGTAGTCTAAATTATTTTTCACTCTAATCTCCCCAGTGTTTGTGTCCATAGAAAACACCTGTCTAACTCTTTCAGGTGTGTAACTACTAAAAGAGTAGAAAACTTCTCCATTTGAGCCCTCATCTGGGTCTGTTGCATTCAACCTAATCACAAGTGCCCCATGTGGAGAGTTTTCAGGCACTTTAACTTTATACGTCGAATTGTTAAACTTAGGCATATTGTCATTGGCATCAAGAATACGGACATTGATTTTGGCTGTACCAGTCCGAGGTGGGGTGCCTCCATCTATTGCCGTCAGAATAAGCTGATGAGAGGGCATCTGCTCCCGGTCAAAGGGCTTTTTGAGAATTAGCTCAATTTGCTTGTTATTGGAGGAGGGTTTAATGGAGTCCAAAGTGAGGTGGTCGTTTGGAACGAGTCTGTACTGTTTTACAGAGTTGGACCCCTCATCTGCATCCTGAGCTCCTTCGATTTTAAACCTTGTCCCGGTGAGAGCAACTTCTGATACTTCAAGCTGGTACTCATCTCTGGGGAACTGTGGTTCATTATCATTCACGTCCAAAATCTCCACCTCTACGTTGTGCACTTCCGGTGGATTCTCCAGTACCACCTCCAGGTTACGTGAACAGGTTCCACGGAACTCACAAACTGTTTCCCGGTCAATGCGGTCACTCACCACCAGCTTTCCGGTTTTGTGGTTAATTGTAAAATATCTCCTTCCACTGTCCGATGTGATTTTGATGCGTCGAGTGGAAAGTTTTTTCAGATCTAGACCCAAATCATGGACAATGTCACCAACCGGTGCCCCGTTCTCCAGCTCCTCCGGAATGGAGTAATGAAATTGTGCATTTATAAGGCCACTGAAGACGAACATCAACACACAAAAATAACCAAATATATTGTCCATTACTCTGGAACAGCATCGTACCAAGCCGGCCATCGCAGGCGGGCAGAATATGCAGACGGTTGGGAAAAATCTTTCTGCCTTTTCAGGTTGCTGCGGGTCCCCACCCGCTTCATCAAAAACAGGATCCGCGCATAACTCCGACGGTGCGGGGTAAACACCGCGTCTTCTCTGATACATGCATGAAGCAAAGATTTCCGACCGCGTCCATGTTTCCCTTGCAGGTCTGATTGCTGTATCTCTCCTACAAGGTTGTCTCTTTTTTTTTTTTCTTAGCTACCGCTCTTCTCCCTCCCTCTCTATTTCTCCCTGCCTGGATGTGGTGATGCTGTCGGTGGGCAAAGAGGGAGGGAGAGCCACTCGCTCAAACATTGCTGGCAGCATCTCAGCACCTTCGATAAAACAGGAAAAAACAAACTAAATGCTTGCATTTATTGAGTTTTCAATCTAACTCAATCTATTTAACAATCTAACCGCAAAACAGAGTCGCGGACGACATCCTCGCAGCTTCATATTTAAAAGGAAAATAAAAACTGTATCCTCTCTTTTTCTGTCAGCGCCACCGCCCTTTTTTTGCGCTGAGGAAATCTGATTTATGTGCCACCACCACCAGACTCCCTTGCTGAGCCTATAAACAATAACTCTGGAACAAGGGAGACAGGGCAACAAATTGAAGAGGTCTTTTAAATATGCAGGAAAAAAGAGCAGAGTCTAAGCGTGAAATCTCACCTTAGAGATAGTGGCATGAGTCTGAGTCTATTTCATTTCTTATCTGGTCTGATTTCTGTTGACAACAATAGGGTCATATTTTCTTGAGCAACCAACAAATGTGTAATGAATCTTCTATTGATCTACAGGAAGGCAAACATATATTTCTTTCTATAACATGCAAGTATTCTTTGTACTCCTCTCTATTCATGTATTATACATAAACATTTTTTTTTTTCTGCTAATTAACTTCTGGTGAAAACGTTTCTCACCAAGCCACTTACAGATGTGACCCCAGTTAAAAATCTAGCAGAAAATATCAAATATGCATGTCACATGTTTACAAAGTTTGCAAACATGCACCACTGTAGAGCAGTGTTTCTCAACCGGGGGTACGTTTAGCCCTAGTGGTTCATACTAAAATATTTCATTTCTTAGGTAGTAAAATAAAATAGGAATCTGTTTTGCTTTGTGAGAACCCACATCAAAAAAAAGAAAGAAAAAAAAAAGCTTTTATTAACCAAAAGGTTTTCTTATATGTCTCAGTTCACCTTCACCTCTGGAAATAGAACAGCCTGGGATCAGCTGTTTTTCACACTGAGCTGTAGGAGCTCATCAAAGCAGCTCAGGTGTCTTGATGGAAACAAAGTAAAACTAATTAAGTCAGACTGACTATAATTTTTGTTTACATTTTCTTCCCAATTCATCATCTTTAAATATGACTATAAGGGAGTGGCTATTTTTATAAATGTAGGTTTGTAATAGGATCTTATTTTGTATTTATTTAAATGCCTTACTAATTTCCTGGCAACATACTTATGTTGTTTTTCTATTTGATATGAAAAGCATAAAACTTTGAAAAGCAAATGCAGAAATTAAAAGTTTAAGTAAAAATAGTATTTATTTCAGTTATTTTATGTTCAACTTTTGGACAATAATCAATACGTTTGACTGAGGGGGGTATTCATGGTAAGAGAAAAATGCCCCAAGGGGTACAGAAGTTAAAAAAGGTTGTGAAACACTGCTGTAGAACACAAAAGCTGTGCAACAACTATGTTCCCCTCAACCAGTATTAAATAGAGAGATAAAAAAACAGGTAACTTAAAATCATGCCCAAGCTTTCAAGTACTATTGGGGTCATCTAAGGTAACTTTTGAGTTAATTTTGGTTGCTTTGTTGTAATTGTCTATATTTAAGGTAAATCAAAATCATTTAACTGCAATTCAGTGGTAATAAGCACCAACAGCAGAAGAGATGAGTTGCTTAAGCACACGGATGTTCCTCATCAGGAACATAAGAGATTACATAGATTGGTTGGAATCTTTAAGATCTCCAAATAGAAAGTGAAGAAGACAGCTTTATAGGTACTTTTTGTAAACTTGTCTAACACCAGCCTTAGAATCTTTATGTTCTTAGGACAAACACATGTATGTAGGACATATTTACACTTTACATAAAGTATCCATGCAGTTTCAATTGGAATATTTTCTATATAATTAAAATAGCATGATAAAATAGTATTAAAACATTTCTACTATTTTTTTTTCTGTCAAGACAGTGGAATTTTGAAAATTTTGTATTTTTGTAAGTACTTCTTTAAAAATTAGAAAAATGAAAATAAAAACAGAGAAATATCCAAATCCCTGAGACAATTTTGCCACAGCTAGTGTTGATTGTAGATAAGTAACTGAAACTCATATTAATTTTTTTTCTTTAAATGTAGGCTATAGATGGCATTAGAGTTCAAATTACTACATTTATATGTTACTAACTTAAGTCACAGGTGTTTTCATTTTCATACTGTGTAAGTTAAATTACGATTCCCCCAAAAAGTATAGCACAACACTTTTCGCTGCAGTGAATTGCATTTTTAAATTCATTTGCATTATGAAATTAAAGAAGTCAAATCTACTTTAATATGAAAGGGTAAGGGGTTTAAAAAGGTAAAAATAAACTGTTCTGCTCTCTCAGTAGTACCACAACTCTCATTTGAAGGTTTGGAATGAAGTGTCCTTGTGAAACTCTAAGTTTTTTTTTTTTTTTTGGTTCAACAGCCACTGGGCCAAGACGATCGTCAAACCACCCACAATATTCCTTTTCTGTGGTGTTTTGCCACTCTCACCCACACTATATTTGCCCACAGTGATAACAGCGCTTGGCATCCAGAAAACACAGAGAAGACAGTGACTCACTTAGATGCGACTAACATAGTTATCTGTTATAGTCTTATATGCAGTAAAGGCTAGATGGAAAATTTGGCAATTTTTAAATGTATTGTAAATATTTTAAACAGATGTTCAATTTCATACACTTTAACACCTTTATAAAATGCAAGAGTACATTCGGTGTTACATGTATGTAGTATACTATTCATTATATCTATAATTTCATAATAAAATGAAACACTCTGTTCAATTTTCAAGAAAATATATACACAATAAAAGCTTAGTAGTGATTACATGACAGGGTACTCAGAATGTAAATTTAACTGATTAACCTGAGTGAAAGGGATTTTTTCCCCTTTTTTGAGACCCTCGTGTGATCTTTGACAGATCACATATAAATATAGATTCCTGGTCATAACATCTGTCATATTTTCCTGGTGTGATGCATCAACTTGTGCATTTTGCTGCAATAAAAACAAAATAACGACCTGTGACATCTAGCTGGCCAACAGTAAATAAACAGCTTCTTTTGTAACTGACCTTTTCCTGTCTCTTTTTTATAACATCCTGTGCTTCTCTAATTCATGTATATAGCAGACTTTTGAACAGCTCCCTAATGCCTATGCCACAAGCATCCATCTGTTCCATCATTAATTGCATGCCTCTCGGCTGTAGACTAATTCATTTTTTTTCACTCAAGGGTGCAGCAGATAATGTCATCAAAAATATTCCGTATCCAGACAGATGCCTGTCTCACTTCAGCTGATGCTAATCATTAAAATAAGATAATTAGTTAATTGTTTCTAATATTTCATTTAAAAATTTTCCCTTTCGTTAATTCCTAAACCTCCAGAGGACAGTTGCCTGCTGTATATGTATCACTGTATAAATATGTGCTTGGTTCTATGTGCAGTTTGGGTAAATATTGTGTAAACCACTTAAAATGGTCAGTATGACTACAGAAACTGTATAAATTGAGTCTATTCATCATTTGCTATTGCTTTTGTCACCTTCCCAGGTATGCGCTAGATTTTGCTGCATGCTCAGCTGAGTCTGTTGCTGCTCTAGCAGAGGGAAGGCTCAGGGGAAAATGTTTTAATGTTATAACTTATTTAAATATTTGCAGATAGATAAATATATAGAAAGTAAGTTTGAAAAAAAGAGATGGCTATACATAAGACATGTATTTCAGATACAAAGGGGGATCTTCTTCCATTTTCACTGTATCTGCCCAAGGATGAAAACCCCTAATATCATCAATTATGCAGTATGCCCAATAGATTAATAATGTTCTGTCCAACCTCATTAATACTGTAAGCAGCCACTCTAAAAGCCATTTATATTAGATCTCCTTGGAGCCTTTTCTGTGGAATTCCCCATTTTATTGAGTCAGAGTACAAAAGAAAATCTACAAAGTAACAAGTGATGAGTGGGCTATCATGAAGCTCGACTCCTTACGTCATTCCCTCAGTCACCACATACAAACAGAAGCAGCCATGCAAACATAAAGGGCATTTGCGCCTGTGGGTCTGTGTGCACTCACACTGGCAGTGTAGAATGCTATCTAAGGACAGGATCATTTTGTCTGAATAAATGTCGAAAGCTAGTTTGCAGTTGTCCTCCGTGATTTTAAATGCCAGAAAACTGCCTTCTACAGCCAAGAGCTTTGATAAGCAAATTGGAACAGGGAAGTGAAGCATGCATTGCCTTTTAGTAAACAGTTATGAGAAAAGGGTAGAGAGATGTGGATTTCTTTTTTCCCCTCATCAAAGACTTCTGCCTCCAAGCCTTCAATTTGATCATGCTGCTGTCAAAGCCTGATATACAGAGACATATGACAACACTTGTACCGTAAACCTCAGATACCAAAATGGTAACAGGTATACAGATGAGGAAAAATAGCAGTGATTCATTTAAAAGATCTACCTTATTATTTGAATGCAAAAGGTGGTTCCTCCAAAGGTTTTGCAATAATAAATAATAAGTAAAATAATAAATAAGTTAACTTTATTAATTTCACACTGGAGAAATTCACTCTCTGCATTTAACCCATCCCCTTGGGGAGCAGTGGGCTGCTACTGTGCGGCACACAGGGAGCAGTGTGAGGTTAAGGGTCTTGCTCAGGGAGCCAGAGTACAGGCTGTGGGGATCAAATCGGGTACTTGGAGCCTTCTCAAAGCACAAGAGCACTGCTCTAACCACAAGGCCAACAGCCCCCTTTTTTCTTTTTCTAATAAATAATAAATATAATGTCCAGCTTAAATAGTTTTGACTAATGTGATCATGCCAAATAAGAAATAAGTGAGTAGAACGGAAAATTGATAATACCTTTGGCAATTTTGGGATCTTTAAATCAGTAGCACCAAAAACACATTACATGAAATCTGAATGCAGCTGTGTAGCAGGAGGTATCAGTCAGAAAGAAAAAAGGTCAATGAGAACAGCTTTAAAAAGTTAATCTCTCTGTCAAAGCAGAGGCAGCCTGAGCAAGAGGTGGGAGAGACAGAGAAATTGTTCCCTCTGTTGGAATAAATTGGAAGTGCAAGAATTGGACATGTGACATTTCCCTCTTATGCTCATCCAACCAGGCTTTTTTCATTAAGCCAAAGTACTAAAGCAT